GCACCACATGTACTTAATTTTAAGAGTCACTGTTTTAAGAAGCAATCACACTTTTCTCAGCTTTGGCACTATAGATAGTCATTGTTGTGGTTATAGATTATTGGCCTTGTGATAGTCAGCTGGATTCAGTAGTTTATACACACTCACATGTACACACACACACACACGTATACAGGTTTATATAGGAGAGTATTTTCTTGTCTTTCTGTTTCTGTTAATCAAAGTAAACGATTTAAAGGAATATTTTGACATTTTGGGGAAATTGACGCATTCGCTCTCTTGCAAAGAGTTGGAGTAGAAAATCAATAACCACGCTCATGTCTGCAAGCTAAATATGAAGCTACAGCCAGTAGCTGATTAGCTTAGCTTAGCATAAAGACTGGAAACAGGTGGACATGGCTAGCCTTCTATATGTAGCGTACAGTCATGAATGTGGAATCCATATATATTTTTATTTTTTTATCTAACTCTCAGCAAGAAAACAAATAAGCATTTTTTCCCCCAAATGTCAAACTACTCATTCAACTTCACAATCAGCTGCAGTATTTAGGGTCAGATGTTTTTTTGGATCGTTCAAGTGAAGATCCACAACACTCATTTCAAACGTGTGGCCTAAAGTATTTTCTTTTTGTCAAGCCTTCCCAGCTTCTGCACATTTGCTTGCCGTCACTGCGCCTTGAGAAACTGCAGTCTTGCAATTGAACTTACTGTAACAGCGCTGACTCAGAATCTCTCAATGGAGAAAAAGGAAGAAGCGGCTCTCCTCTTTTGCCTTGAGGGACAGTTCTCAACAACCACTGATCCAGGATTGAACAGCTTCTTTTTCTGTAACATAAAAAAAAATAATAATCATGAAATCAGTGTTTTTTCGGGGGCTGCTTCCTCCCACCGGTGGACTCTTAACACCCGGCTGCTGCTTCACAGCAAGTGTTCTTTTGAAATGATTCTTCTCCTCCCGGGTGAACGCCATCCACTGACTGAGTTATGAGATCTTCTGTAGTGTGGTGTACTGTATGCAGTTTTATCGTCAAACGGATGAGTTTGTACTTGTCTGATGTTTCGTGGAGTGCTTGCTTGTGGTGTTTCGTGTCCTGTGTGTGTGTGTGTGTGTGTGTATGTGTGCGCGCGGTTGTGTGTATGTGCTGTGAGAGTGCGGCTGCCTATCAGCCATATGTTCTTGGATACTTTCTTGTTTTTGTTTTTCTTCCCAGATGATAAAACTGCTTTCCATTTATCATGTAAGCAATTTAGATGCATAGACGTGCCTTCTATGCATATGCCTATGTGTATGTGATAGCTATTAAAAAAAGACAACAACAACAGAACAGTGCTCTTTAGTTCCACCGCCATTCAAGAACCTGTAACACTTAAATGTGAATTATTTCATCCTGAACAAAAAAGGAAAAAAACGGTGATCGCAATGCAAACAAACTATATTTTTTAACATGTATATTGTACATGAGTACCTGGTAGAGGAGAATGTACTTACTTAAAACATATCTACTTGCCAATAAGATATACTGTATGTATATTCCTACAGCTTTCTCTCTGTGACACAGGGAGGGACCTCTCACAAAGCTTCAGAGGTTTATTGTATGACTTTCAATGCAGTTAACCATGTTAACTTCCTCAATAACAATAAATGGCAAGCTCATGCCACATTAAGACTGTCTTTTTGTGTGTGATTTACATATTTGTACAATGATCGCCATCACTTAAACAGGCTGAGACAATATCTTGGTTCAGGGGAAGGAGACAGGTACAGTTTATGTGTTTTGATTTAGGAGATTAATTTCTTTATTCTCCTGTAAGTGGAAAAAAGAAAATACATGGCAGCCACTATAAAGCCACAGATAAAGTGCTCTGAAGAGGGCTTTTATGTTAAAAGGGTCAACTCACTCCTTTAAATCCTACACACTGGTCCTTTAAATGAAAATTACAACAGGCAAGAGTAACTCAAATACTGAAAGACACTAAATATATAGTGAAAGATAATTAGTAAAAAGCTAAACTGGGGGTAAAAATGGAAGCACTGAAAGGAGTATAAGTATTGAAAAGAGATGAAGCCAGTTGAAATTTCAGTTTAAATACCTTTACATTTAATGACGATGAAGAGAAAGTAACGTAAGAGTAGTGTAAGTAATTTGAGAAGAAGCAATTTGACCTTTAAGTGGTAAAAATAGTTAAAACTTCACAAAGGTTGTCAACACTGAATGAAGCTGAAGTGTCAATAAAAGTGAAAGGAGAAAGTATGTTCTCAGTGATAAACTGAGCTGGAAGAGTAAGAAATCAATATACTGTAGTTGAAGTGGAAGCACTGGAGATAATTCAAGTGTTAACTGCCAGCCGTCTAAATGTTAGTTAGTGTATGAACCCTTACAGTTGAAATGTCAGTTAAAGTGTGTTAAGTTAAACCAAACTATTTGAAGTGTTAAATGAAGAATAAATCAAGTGTCCGTTGACTTGTGACTGATGGAAGAAGTGTTCAGTGTTACTGAAAGTGTAATCACTGAAAGCACTTGAAATGTCGATATAAGTTAATAATGGCTGAATGGCTCTCCTGTTGCTTTGAAGGCCTGTTCAAAAACTCATGTTGGTTAAAATGTGACATTGTGTGAGAAACAACAAGTTTGACTCCATTTTGATGCTGAAATTATGCACAAGGTGGAAAATGTGGGAGTAAAACAAATTTAAAGTTCAGACAAAATAATTAAAAAACTGGGCAAATGAAAGCCCTGGCTCCATGTTGTTGAGGCAAAATCTTTTTATAATTTGGGTGAACTGACCCTTTAACAAAAGCAACTTATAATTAACAATTACACATTTTCT